GTGTGGCGGCATTTCCCCTGGGGGGAAATATATGTATATAATGTGAATACAAAACAGCAGATGGGCTTATTGAAAATGCAAATTCATTCTCTGCTATCTTTTGAAAATCTGCTTAGGGCCCCCAAAATGCTAGTTCTGGCCCTGGTGGTGCCTCAGGGCTCAGTTCTTGGACCATTTCTCTTCTCCATCTACATGCCATCACTAGGTTCTGTCATTCAGAAACATGGCTTTTCATATCACTACTATACTGATGACACTCTACCTCTCATTCCATCCTGATGATCCAACGATAGCTGCTCGCTTCTCAGTATGTCTAACAGACATTTCTTACTAGATGAAGAACCATCACCTTCAACTCAATCTCGCCAAGACAGAACTGCTTTTGGTTTCAGCCAACCCAACACTTCATCACAATTTCTTCGTCCAGCTAGGTGCATCAATCATAACACCTTCCAGGACATCCAGGAACCTTGGAGTTGTGATTGATGATCAGCTGAATTTCACAGACCACATTGTTAGAACTGCCTCCAGATTTGCCTTATACTGTAGCTAACAGCTGCATGGTTAGAACTGTATCTCTAATAGTATCTTGTTTTCTTTTTATTTATTAATAAAAAAAATATTTATTATTCTGTTGAAAAGAGATGGTCTTCATCCCTCCAGGGGTAGTGCCGCTCTTCTCTCTAGAAATATGGCACATTGTCTTTAGGGTTTGTACTTGACTAACTGGGGCACAGGTCAGGAAGCAGACCGACTGGCTAACCCGACCGTGTGCTAGTCGCCTCACGTCACAGAAGTCAGTTAATTCTCAGCTCATAGAGACTCTTTCACCTAGACATCACACTATAGACACTGTGTCTGTTCCCCGAACCAGCAAATACAAAAAAAACATCCAGAACCATTTAAGGGTAACAATTTAATTGATGTTCAACAAATAAAAAACAGATATAATACAGATAAACAAACGATAAAGCTTGGCTAAATGAATATTAGACCCCTTTCTACGAAAGCGCTTTGTAAATGATATGATCACAGATCATAAATTAGATGTGCTCTGTTTGACAGAAACCTGGCTAAAACCAGATGATTACGTTATTTTAAATGAGTCTACCCCCCAAGATTACCGTTATAAACATGAGCCGCATCCAAAAGGTTAAGGGGGAGGTGTTGCTACAGTTTATAGTAATATTTTCAGTATTTCTCAGAAGTCTGGTTTCAAGTATAATTCATTTGAAGTAATGGTGCTTCATATAACATTATCCAGAGAAACAAGTGTTAATGATAAATCCCCTGTGACGTTTATACTGTCTACTGTATACAGGCCACCAGGGTACCATACAGACTTTATCAAAAAATTTGCTGATTTTCTATCGGAGTTAGTGCAGGCTGCAGATAAAGTCTTAATTGTTGGTGATTTTAATATCCATGTTGATAATGAAAAAGATGCATTGGGATCAGCATTTATAGACATTCTGAACTCCACTGGGTTTAGACAACGTGTCAGGGCCTACTCATTGTCGTAATCATACTTTAGATTTAATACTGTCACACTGAATTTATATTAATGGCATTGAAATTCTGCAGCAGAGTGATGATATCTCGAATCATTATCTAGTCTCGTGTATACTCCATATAGCTAAAGCTGCAAATTCAACTCCTTGTTACAAATATCACTTCTACAACAAAAGACTGCTTTGTAAATAACCTTCCTGACTTGTCTCAATTCCTCAGAAAATCCAATAGCTCAGAAAAACTTGATGTTGTAACAGAAACTATAAACTCTCTCTTTTCTAGCACTTCCGATTCGGTTGCTCCTTTACACTTAAAGAAGATTAAGGAAAACAGACCGACAACATGGTATAACGAGCACACTCGCACCTTAAAGAAAGCAGCCCGGAGAATGTAGCGCAGCTGGAAGAAAACAAAACTAGAGGTATTTTCGTATTGCATGGCGGGAAAGTACTTCTACTTATAAAAAAGCTCTAAAAACTGCTAGATCCGCTTATTTTTTCGTCTCTCTTAGAAGAAAACAAACACAACCCTAGGCATTTATTCAATACAGTGGCTAAATTAGCGAAAATTAAATTACAGACCGATCTCAAATCTCCCTTTTCTGTCAAAAATACTAGAAAAGGCAGTATCCTCTCAGCTATGTTCCTTCTTAGAGAGAAATGGTATCTGTGAGGATTTCCAGTCAGGATTTATACCTGATTTAGACCATAGTACTAAAACTGCTCTCATCATCAGAGTTACAAATGACCTGCTCTTATCCATCCTACAAATCATGGTTGTATTTCTCTATTAGTACTACTGGATCTTAGTGCTGCGTTTGACACTATCAACCACAACATTCTTTTGAGTAGACTACAAAATTATGTTGGCATTAGTGGAATTGCATTGTCATGGTTCAAATCTTACTTTTCTGACCGTCATCAAATCATATCAGTGAATGACGAGGTATCATATCGATCACAAGTGGAGTACCCACAAGGCTCAGTACTAGGACTGTTGCTTTTCATGCTTTACATGTTACCCTTGGGAGATATCATCAAGAAACATGGTGTTAACTTTCACTGTTATGCTGATGATACTCAGCTCTATATTTCTTCGGGGCCCGACAAAACATACCAAGTCGCAAAACTAACGGAATGCTTAGTTGATATAAAAAACTGGATGACGAGTAATTTCCTACTGCTAAATTCTGAAGAAAAAACAGAGGTTTTAATTATTGGACCAAAAACCTCTGCATGTAATAACCTAAAACACTGTCTAACAATTGATGGCTGCTCTGTTAATTCTTCGTCATCAGTTAGGAACCTAGGTGTGCTATTTGATATCATTCTTTCCTTTGAAAGCCATGATTCTTGCATTTGTAAAACCGCATTTTTCCATTTTAAAAATATATCAAAATTACGACCTATGCTCTCAATGTCAAATGCAGAAACGTTAATTCATGCGTTTATGAGCTCAAGGTTAGATTATTGTAATGCTTTATTGGGTGGTTGCTCTGCGCGCTTAATAAACTCCAGCTGGTCCAAAATGCAGCAGCTACAGTTCTTACTAGAACCAGGAAGTAAGACCATATTAGCCTGGTTCTGTCAACTCTGCACTGGCTCGCTATTGAACATCGAATACATTTTAAAATCTTGCTAATTACTTATAAAGCCCTGATTGGTTTAGCTCCTCAATACTTGAGCGAGATCATATCGCATTATTGTCCTTCACGTCCTCCGCAATCTCAAAACTCTGGCAATTTGAAAATACCTAGAATATCAAAATCAACTGCGGACGGCAGATCCATTTCCTATTTAGCACCCAAACTCTGGAACAATCTACCTAGCGATGCTCAGGAGGCAGACACAATCTGTCAGTTTAAATCTAGATTAAAGACCCATCTCTTCAACCTGGCATACACATAACACACTGTCACATTTCTACAATTCAAATCCATTAAAGGATTGTTAGGCTGCATTAATTAAGTCAACCGGAAACGGGAACACTTCTCATAACACCCAATGTACTCGTTACATCGTAAGAAGAATGGCATTTACGCTAATATTAGTCTTTCATTCTTATTCCGAGGTCACTGTAGCCATATGGATCCAGTCTGGATCCAGATCAGATGGTCACCGCAGGCACCCAGATCCAGTCTATATCCAGACCAGATAGTGGATCAGCACCTAGAGACGACTTCTACAGCCCTGAATGTCAGTGGAGACCATGTTAACTAGATGCGCCCCAGAGACAGATCCCCTGTGAAGACCTCATCACCTTGACAACCATCGGCAAAAGACCACGGGAACCAGACAAGTCCTCTGCACAATCTGACCTATGTTGCAGCCTGGAATTGAACCACGGCCATGCTGGTTTTGTCTAGCCAGAGGAGAATTGGCCCCCCACTGAGACTGGTTTCTCCCAAGGTTTTTTCTCCATTTCTGTCACCGATGGAGTTTTGGTTCCTTGCCACTGTCACCTTTGGCTTGCTTAGTTGGGGACGCTTGACTGATTGCACAGACACTTTTGGAAGAGAGCTGAACTGGATGATGACATCACTGAATCATCGATGAACTGACTTTAGATGAAAATGACTTATTGTCCTCTTGCAATATTGACAATCAATTTTCCTGTTTGACACTGTAAAGCTGCTTTGACACAATCAGTATTGTATAAAGCGCTATGTAAATAAAGGTGACTTGACTATTAAAAACTTGACTCTCTAACACTAGCGTCCTCTATTGTTTTTCTATTCTACCTACTTTTTATTCTTTTTATTTATTACTAAAAATAAATTTGATTGCTTCTACTGTCATCATTTGTAAGTCACTTTGGATAAAAGTGTCTGCTAAAATGTAAAAATAAGTAATTACAAGGAAAGATGCTTGCTGTGTGTTGCTTTTTCAAATGCATGTTATAAGCGTTTCCTCATCTCAGTGCACAGACTCAAGGGCACACAAAAACAGAGCCAGAGACTCACGGGCAGACAAAAACAGCCAATTCAGAGAGAAATAAAATGCACTGAAATTATTTAAACGCAAAACCGAGAAAAAAAAAACAGTCCACAAGCGTATACTGAACCATGGATGTCATACCGAATGGTTTAATATTATATTGAGAATTGTGGCATCCCTAGAGGCCACACACACACACGGTGTAGCCAAATACTGCTATCACTCCTCTTTTCTGAGTGCTTAATCCCATTTTTCAGCCGTTTACATCATAATACTGACTCAGCTTACCATATAAAATAACAAAAAAATTATGTGGTGCTGGCTGTAGCTATGTCATAGTTTTTACTGTTATACTTTAGAAAGTTTGCAAGAGTTTTTCTCTACATTGCCCTTTTATTTGTTGCCTAAGAAATACATTTTATTTATCGATACAGAAGTACCAGAAACTGGTAACAATATAATGCTGGTGTCTAATCATATTATACAACCAAATTGAAGTTGTAAATGACATCCTTAACAGCACCTCTGAGATGTGAGGGTGATTTTTCTCACCGAGTAACAGCAGAGTTCATGAATGATGACTCTGTTGGAGAAGGTTTCATTGTGAGATTCAATATGAAGAGTTCTTTCTCTGTGGTTCAGAGAGTTCTTCTGAATGAAGTAGACATAATCCACGCCTGCAATCTACACACAAATACAGGATTTATCATTTTATTACAAATCAAAGCTGAAAATTTAATCAAGCTTGGCCAAAAACAGTATGCAGGCAATGCAGACAAAACAACAATATTACTTAATGTGGAGGGAATAAGGGAAAGGGAAGGGACTTTGGGAGGTTCCATTTTACCCGTTTGAGGAGTCGTGGTGCATCCACATCAAGTTTACACCTCCGCTCAATCTTATGAAAAGACCGATCCTCACTGGTCTCCTCAATGATCACATCACTGTCCACAAACATGGGGATCAAATGACAGGTGGGAAACCTCCTCTCATATGCCTAAAGAAGAGAGAAGAACAGAAGAATTGACTGAAGAACTGAAAACCCACCTGCTTTCCTGTATGGAAGAAAAGAGGTACAGTATGTTTTTTTTTGCATGAGCATAAATTCACTGAGGGCCACATGTTGCACAGAAAGAGAGCAGTGGGGAAGACATTAATCAGGTAGGTGGTATCACTATTTAGTACACTGTCAAAGAGAAACATGGGCAACAATTCCAGGAATCACAGCTTCATTTGTTTAAAGTAGGGGTGCGCCGATCCAATATTCAGTATCGGTATCGGCTCTGATACTGCCATTTTCTGCCGGATCGGGGTATCGGTCAGACGAGACCGATCCAAATCCAATATTCTGTGTATACTATTCTGTGTTATTATTAAGCCCCACGAAAGGCACAAAAACATTATAAAGCACCATAAAGTTTTCGTGCACTATATTTCAAGTGTTCTGAGACCGTTCCATAGTTCAATGTGAAGTACAGATGAATATTTAAGTCGTTAAATTCAAGTTCTGTCTGTCATCCTCCATTCAGTATTCAAACTGCGTGTCTCGTTCGGTTATGACAGTCAAGACGATAAAACTCTCTCTAAGATGATACAATGTTCCTATTATTATACTTGATCTTTAGATAAAGATCAATGGTTTTGCATAAAAGGACTTTATCTTGCTGAAGTTTAGTGCTGTTTCTAAAGCATGTTACTTTCTAACGGGTGTCTGTTAGATCACAAAACTGGAGTAGAGAGCACTATTAATTGTTCTTCATGCACACAGTAACTGAAATTTAAAACTGTTAAAAGAAAAGGCTCAAACTAATCACACATATAATACACTACGCATCAATATCTCTTCCCTTTGTGCTTTGAAATTTTCTATGCGGAGCGCTGCACGCTGTGACTCAGTGTTGCTTCAAGCGCATTATTCTGCGCACAGGATGCGCATAAGCGCTTTGTGCCGCTCCGTATAGGAGCCTTTCATGTTATACTTTTGCGCAAAGAAACATTATTAATAGCCTTTCTTGTTGTCTTATCTATCATATGTTGCTGCCTCATTACTGTGCTATACATTTAAAAGAAATGTCTTTGAATTTTATAGTATATTAATTAATATATAAATATAGGTAACACTTTATAATAACGTTCAGTTGTAAGTCATTTATAATTGATTAGTTAATGATGAACTAATCATTTACAAAACACTCATAAGCAATTAATAAGTGATATGCTAACAATTTGTGTATGTTTTGTTAATTCATTTACAAGTCATTTACAAGTGATTAGTTAATGATGAACTAATCATTTACAAAACTTGACTGCGTTCATAAATGATTAATAAGTGATATGTTAATATTTATCTATGTTTTGTAGATTAAGTTATAAATAATTTACAAGTGATTAGATGATGATTAACTAATCATTTACAAAACATGACTATACATTCACAAATGATTATTAAGTAATATGCTAACGATTTACAAATCTTGTAAGTTATCTTAAAAAATAGCATCATGAAATAATCAAACTTAGTAAAAGGTTAATACACTGAAAAAAATTTTACTAAATTTTTTTTAAGGTAAGTGGTTGCAAACAATATATTTTAGCTACATTTAAATAAAAAAAAATGTTGAATGTTAGTCAACTAAATTTGTTTATTTAAATGTTGCTAAAATAAATTGATTGCAACCACTTATCTTAAAAAAATTAGTAAATTCAATGAATCATTGTTTTCAGTATAGTTTATAGTTACTAGTTAAGTTACTAGTTAATATATTATTAATCACTTATAAATCATTGAAATGTCAACATTGTACTATTATCGCACAGCGTTATAAATAATCCATGTATCAGAAAAGACATCTGTCTACACCCTCACCAGTCAGCCCTTACATTGCAGTACACACTACAAAGTAATAAAAATCATTTACAAAGCTTTCTACATCCCCTAATCTAAAGTGTAAACTACTCATCAGTTGTAAATGTTTTACAAACCTGCCGGTTACAGGTTGTGTGTGTACACACACTGGGGTGAAAGATCTACGAATGATTGAGTAAAACATTTACAACTGATGAGTAGTTTACACTTTTTTTTGTAGTTTACATAGATTAGGGGATGCAGAAAGCTTTGTAAATGATTTATTAATGCGTTTACACAACAGGTTTTGAATACTTTGTAGTGTGTACTGCAATGTAAGGGCTGACTGGTGAGGGTGTAGACAGATGTCTTCTCTGACACACATGGAGTATTTTTAACGCTGTGAGATAATAGTACAATGTTGACATTTCAATGATTTATAAGTGATTAATAATATATTTACTAGTAACTTATTAACCATTTAGGATATGTTTGATTATTTCATGATATGCTATTTTTTAAGATAATTTATGACAGATTGGTAAATCGTTAGCATATTACTTAATCATTTGTGAACGTATAGTCGTGTTTTGTAAATAATAATGTCCATCTTTATTTGACCCTCTAACTCTAGCACTTTCTATTCTATTTTAATTCTACTTTATCTATTTATCTTCTTTTTTTATTAAAAAAAAAACTAGCAGCTTTCAATTTTTTCTATTCTATCTATTTGTTTTTCTTTGTCTGTGTGTGTGTGTGTATGTGTGTGTGTATTAGGGATGCACCGGTATCGGGCCCGATACTGGTCTCCTGTACTCGTACTCGTTAAAATGCCCCGATACCAAACGCCGATACCACACAGCATGTGATAAGCGCCATATTCAAACGAAGAAACACAGACAACAGGACAACAGACAGCAGAAAAGAGTTAAGGATGTCTACTACGAAGTATATGTATGCAATGAATATAATGTTAAACATTTAGTATTAACGCTTGTATAGCTGATGTGAGCGAGCTGATAAACAAAGCACGCTGAGTGGATTTGGCGTGTGGAGGCGCAGATGCGCGAGCTTGTCGAGTGAATATATCTTTCTCACAGACATCACTGGAAAGTTTGTAGTTCGGGCGGATGTGTCAAAACCAAGTAAAACAATGCACAAGTTACTTAACGGTTGGGAGAGCGAGAG